GTGCCTCCATGACCCTGCGAGCTACACAGAATGGCTTTTCGCTTCCGCAGATCTAATCCTGCCTCAAAGGTCTATGGATAGAGGCCACACAGCTCTGTCTCACAAAGCCAGCTGCTTTGGCATCCCCTGGCCTCCTATCTATCCACACCCGTCCCCGGAGAGGTCACTCTAGCAGATAAGCTCGGTGACCGGCAGTTTTCCCGTCGAAAACCACTAGATGGACGTAGGAGCGGGTCACATGGGGCTTCCTCCCGACGATGGGAGAAGTCTTCGCACTTCATTGGACAGCAACCGTCCGCCCGAGCTAGGCAGCTCCCATTGGTTTTCATTGGGTGCATGGGCCTAGGGGCCGATCCCGAACAGCGGACCGACAATCAACGCACCAGCAAATAAAACAACGGAGACACAGAGGCCTTATGTGACAGGTCTCTAGAAGCTCCCACACGAGTGCTTCGATCACGCTCCCGCCTTGGATCTACGTCCCACTGTCTTGCGGGTCAAACTTTTGAATCAAAGACTCCGGTTAGGGTTTCCTAAGAAAGACCCCTTTGTCGGTATGGACTGCAGCGAAGTATGTCGTACCCTAAAGTTTTAGGCACCCATTTGGAATAACCTCTTTCCCATCTGTCTAGTTCTTCCTCTCAATCCCGAATAATTTCAGATACCTCCTCTTTACGCCACCCATCTCATGTCCCTCAGCGTTTTACCATCAAGGCCAAACAATCAATTTATAGGATGTTTGAAGCCAAAATTCCCTTTTTCACTTGGTCACATTCGGTGTCCGCGCACCCTATCACATTGACCAACAATCTGGAACGCTTGAAACTTTCAATTTGGATGTATACTGCCTCTGGAACACATACAAGACCCTACTACAGTTACCTCCCTGCGTTCTCCTAATCCAACCTCAACCTCACGCTCTACCCTCCATGTGTCAGGCGATTCGGCATCCGAAGCTCGCGGTGTTGCTGTTGTTGGGATTGCACTAAGTGCCAAGGCTGAGTGCTGTCTCCCTGACTGGATTCCATTCACTAGCCGACTGCGCTGTACATTTCAACGGGTCATCAGCTACAGAACGAAGCATCAATGTTTATTCGTCCTCTCGGTGTATGCATCGACCGATTGCAGTACACCTGAAATCAAGGATGAATTCTACAGGGACCTTTCTCAATTACTCCAAAGTGTTCGATCAACGCGCGTCGTAGTAGTCGCCGAGGACTTCAGTGCTCAAGTGGGATCCCTGGACGAATCAGAAAACCTTGGAGAACCGCATGCAATCCCAGCCAACTAGATGGACAACGGAGGTCGCCTACTTTAACTCTGTGCGGACCGCGGATTGTACCTGTTAAGAACCATTTTGCACAAGCAGCGACACCGCCTTACATGGAGACCGCGAACCTGTTCACAGCGCTGAGCCCAAGTCGACCAAGTCGCCATCAGTTACCGCTGGAAGGGGTCAATTCAAGACTGCCGCTCCTACTGGTCGATAGCTGTGCATACGAACCACGCATTGTTACAAGCCAAATTCTCTCTATGCCTGGCAAACAACCGCAAAAGAGCCACCAACAACGGAAATCCACGATACAATGTCAGCGCTAGTTGCAAATCGGCGTTCGAAGCGGAACTCTCCCATCGCCTATCAGTTCAGCCACCAGCCGAAGGACTCGATGAGCACTGGAAGCAAATCAAGGACGTTATAAAAATATCGATAAAAACAACGTCAAACTCTGGCACAGGCTCAAAACACAAGCGATGAATCTTCTCGACCTTTGCTGTCCTGCTGGACTCCCGCAGAACCCTTCTTCCTGATGCCGCATATGAGAGCGCGCAAATTCCTCAAACTTCAGCTCATTAAGAGTGTGAAGAATGACCGTGAGAAGTGATGGGTAAGAAAGTGTAGAGGGATAGAGAAGGCTGCAACTATTGTTAATAGTCGCAACCCTTTCCGTCTAAGTAGGAATACGGACCCCCAGGAAAACAAGCGTGAGGTAATTAAGGAATCCGATGGCACACTGGTTCACCATCAGCAAAGCCATCTTGCTCGATGGGTTGAACACTTCGAGACCCAGTTCAGCTGGCCCCCGTCGACATCTAACCTATCACTTCCCACTTCGGCTGGACAGATACTCCCAGTTGATACCATCTGAAATGGAGGCCTCCCAGGAAATAAGCTATCTCAAAAGATATAAAGCTTCCGGCCTAGATGGGCTGTCTCCATCGGTTTCTAAGGATGGAGGTTCAGCCTTGGGTTCGGAGTTAACGAAACTCCCGGACTCAGTGTGGGAGCGGGTTGTGCGAATTGGTAATCATACCGATTTGCACGAAAGGTGACAGATCCTTTTTTATTGCACACTTGTGTGATGAACAGCAGACGGGGTAAACCCCATAGTTACGAGGACTTGCTGTTCAGTGATGGAAACCGGCAACCTAAGCCCCGGGACTTGGAATGGGGTGAACCGCATAAGGCCCCGCTAGGTTAGGCGTGGTATTGAACCGGAAGACAGCAAAGCTTCCTATCACCAAAGTTGGTTGGCGGTGGCGGAGCCCGAACCTCGGACCATAGGGTCGAAAACACGCCGGTGGCAGCGACTAAACCACTGAGCCACCACCAACCACACGAATTAGTTTAACCAACATTTCTTGTAAAATTCTCGCTGGCAATATACTCCGTCGATTGTCCACCGTAAATGAAGAGTGCACGCGTGAGAGCCAGGCTAGTTTTAGACCTGGTCGAGGTTGTATCGACTACATCTTCACTCTTCGTCAAACTGTGGAGCACCGGCATTCCTCACTGTTCTTCAGTGGAAGCACATTTAGACGTTTTGAGGGGACGGTCTTCCTGCGAGTTGTTAGATGGAGTCTAACCTTTGCGCGAACTAGTACATAATCAGATCCGCTTTTGTTCTCGCATTCAGCCCCGCAATAGGATCCACAGTCTTCAATCGAAGAAACCCATCGTGAACGAATGAGAACGTAATCTATTTGATGTGCCGTTCGGCCGTCGTTGGAGTGCCACGTTAGAAGATGCTTTTTTGGATGTTGAAACCGCGTGTTGGTAATACACAATTGATTATAATCGGCAAAACTGAGTAGTCTGTCGCCATTCTCGCAGCGCTGACCCAGACCAAACCTCCCTATGATGTGCTTCGTGGCCTCAGTTGCTAGCTGAACAGGGTCCCATGCATTCCTGGTGAGTACGGAGTCATTGTCTCGGCCGCTGAGTCGTGAAACCGACTTTATCAATACGTTAGACACAGACTCNCTCAACCTGGTTTGGCCCGCCTGTCGAGCGGTTTACCGGTGTGTGGCCGCTGTTTCATCCCAACAGCTTCTGGGAGCAACAGACGAGAGTTGAGCACCCGGTGGGATCAAAGAACGGGGGATGCCCCAAAGGGGCGGACAGCCCTCTGAGTCAGAAGGGCCCCCTTCGCATTGACCTTTCAGGAATGATCTGTAACTGTTTTTTGTCTGGTGAGACTCCCTTGATTATGATGAGAATCCATCTCGTAATGCATAAAAAACTGCAGAAAATTCCATCATCATCAACGTACAGCGAAATACAGTGAAGCAAACTTCACTTATCGCTGCCAGAAAAAAACCCATATAATCGTCACAAAATTAATCAGTCCGTGCACACCGTCTTCTACTCCTTTTTAAGTGATATAAGTTGAAAGGAGGTATTTCAGTTCCTCTCTCGATATATATATATATATATATATATATATATCGCTCACCCAAGTCTGCACTGTGCAACAATTTATTGGCCATTTGCGACGCCCGATCTTTGATTGAAAATGTGGTTTACCGTAACGTCCGCAAGACAATGAAAGTGACCAATTGTCCTTAGGATCGATAGTATCTTTACACTTAGATGAACTTCCCTCGGGAATCACATTTGATTTCACGGTGCTTTGCTGCGCCAGGGGGTGATTACTTTCTGTTTTGATTATTCTCTTTCATATTTGACCCAAACTTGTTCTACTTTACAGGCGGCGTCGATTACTCGAATAACTCTACTGGTGGATCAGAAAGGAAAAGCGTGTCGGTTGAAGCTAATTCTGTGCAAATGAATTGTGCCGAAGAAGTAACATGTATGACACGTTTCCAGCGTCACTTAGCGGATTATCTGTTTGCCAATGGTTACCCTAAGTCCGCGCTCAAGTTGGCCCGTGATCGACCTGAATTGAGCGAATTATGCCTGACGGAATTGTTCGAAGAGGCGGTCCAAATTGAAGATGCATTGTATCGTGGTGACACGGGCCCTGCTCATAACTGGATTCAGGAGGCGAATTTTAAGCTTAAGAAAAGTGAAGTATGTTTCACAATTTTCAATCATTTTGTCTCGTTTCTATTTTTGTTCCAAACATCCGATATGGAGGGCTGTTCTGGCAAAATGTTGCCTATGATTGACGTCTTCGGAATAATGTTCCCTCTTCAATCATGCATCAATAACGAGCCCATGGAAGGCACCGCGAAGTGACTTCTTTTGACATCGCGAATAGAAATGTATCCTACAAGATGCAGAGTCAGTTTTATCCCTATTCCTGACACCCGACCATATCGCCTGAAATTTTCATTCACAGGCTGTAGTTATTTCTCAAGTATACTCTTGCGGTAGTCCATTGGTCAGTTATCTCATCGCTGGTTTTCATGCCATCAATGGGTTGTCTATCATACTTTCATGCTCTATACATCCTGCAGAAATACGGGTTCTTACCGGGAGGGACGTGGATGTCGTATATTAGTCGTCGCAGTGCTTGTGGGTGGCATATTCGGGTCTTATTTATACTCTTTTGACACCACTGTCTACGCAGCCTTGCCTGGATCTGGTGGGGCAGCCGGACGAGCAATGCTGAGGTTAGGCGCAGAGTTTTGGGTAACCGCGGTCACCCACTGGAGCAAGTGGTCAACCTCCATAGATTACGTTGGTTGGTGTTACGCATCCCACCAAATAGGTTGCCACGGTGAACGATGTTTGCCGAGACAGGTAGTGGGTGGAATAAAGCCAAGGGTGGTCAAGCTGATACCTCGCACGAGGTTATGAAAACCCTAACCAGGGGACTGGATCACATAGGTCCCATTAGGCTCCCCGGTTAGGGACCTCGGGATGGTCGTAACCGATTGTTAGAGACACTGAGTGATATGGCTGAGTGTCGTAAACGGTGGCGATGTATATATCCATCCATATACGCCACTCATGAACTACATTATGATATACCACTGACCCGCATTGTATTACATTTTATTGCATTGTCTTGTATTTAATTACTTGCGCAAACATAACAGCTCATATTTAAGTTAAACGACTCTGCTCACCGACCGTGAAATTATCGTGTCACACAGGTCACAATAAATGAATTATTTTCTGAGATGAGGATGAAGTTTCTCTCTTCTCTCTCCCGGCTACTGAGTACGTGTGTTTGATAAAAAAGCATGTCGATATTTGGAGCGCTTGGAAAGATCAGAATGGCAGAGTTCAAAAAGCCCAAAGAATCAGTTTCACACGATCTAAGGCGTAAGCAGCTTATGCAGGACTGAAACACGTTTGAAGACGTGATGTTTCGTTGAAACTGAAAGGTCGCGTATACTGCTCCAGTCTGCGGTCAGTTCTACTCTATGGTTGCGAGACCCTAAATTTGTGTATGGAAGATATTTGTCATTTGGAAGTCTTCGACCGTCAATGTGAGGCGCGGGTTGGATACAGCGAGCGTGTAAGCAACTCTGAGGTAAGCTGTCGCGTATTTGGTAATGATTCGATGGAGAATTCGTTGTCCCATCGAATTCAGGTTAGTCGGCTTCGCTGGTTAGGACACGTATTGCATATGCTCAACCATCGTCTACCGCGCCGCGCCTTATTCACAGTTGTCGCTCCGGGTTGGAAGAAACCACGTGGAGGTCAACAGATGACGCGGAAACGAAGCATGAAGAAATGCACAGAGCGATTAGGTAGAATCGGTGTCTCCCGTCTTCCAGGTTGGGGTCCAAAAGACTGCAGCTGGTTGGTTGGAGACACTGAGAATACCTGTTCCACTTTATTTACATGTACATATTGTGTTTGTGTAAAGCATTCCGTAATCAACCCAGTTGGCTTCCCATGGTACAATGGGAACAAAAACGACGGGATCACATCATATGTAATCCTCCTCTGAATGAACGCTCTCCAAAGCCACCAATGCAATGTTATTTGGAAGTTTCCAGCTTTCGGTAATGAGTTACTAATGGTTCAAGTATTCTTCTTAGACTTCAGATGCCTATTTCTTGCTGTTAAGTTTCAGCCAAACATCGTCATCGGCACAAAAACTGATAGTTTCTTAGATAAGCATGACACCAAGGTAGGATTCCCGGTCTCTCTCCGGGGGGTTATCTCAATCAACGGATATAGGATCGTTTAAATATGTGATCTGTTGTCTTCCACTTAGGTTTCGTACCTGTCTAACTTTCTCATATGGTACACCGTCGTTTAACCGGCATTCACTTTTATTTACTCATCGGTTCGCTGTGTGGCTAAATTGGTAGTCGAAAGACAAACTGGGGCACAGTAGTGCGAGGCTGGTTGTTCTACAAACTGTGAAAGACTGAAGTCTCAGGAAATATAATCCTTGTGAATTTTTCGTGATTGAAAGACGAAATTCCCACGGGGCCAAAAAAAATTTTGGTACATTGGAATCAGGATTAGACCAGCGAAAAGGTTAACCCTGATCCCATTCGAACTTGGCATGTAATTGGCAGCTCAGTCATGACAACGACATTGTTCTTTGAGACAATTTTCTTTTTGATCAACTTTAGATAGTGAGCGGAAGGGAAAAAAATGATCGAATGTATTGAGCACTCCAAGTTCTTTTTCGATTACTGGAGTGGCGAGATAGGTCAATGCCAACCTCACTTTGTGTCTCGAGCTTGCTGTCCTTCACTTACACTCAAAAACGTGGAAGTGTGATTGTGCATTTTCACTCGACAGCTGCTCTCCAACCAATTAATCTATTCGTCACTTCTAAAGCTGACAAAGAAAAAAAAATAGTACAACAGATGATGATTTAGATAATTACTTCTGTTTTACCTACGTGATTAATATTCAACAGGGCAGACAACTGTGGAGTAAGAAGTACCGGTATTACTTATGGTCATTTCCTTCGATTCAGTAGAATTTAGTTTAACACGTATAGACTATGGGGACTGATGGATTTGAACCATGATCAAATATGGCTCGGNTTCCATAGATTGTACGTGTTTATTGCATGAGCTTTTTGCCGCCAACTGTAACACAAACAACCTCCTTTACGTAGCGACCGAAAAACCAAATAGAATGTTTTCAGCTCAGCCGCTGTAATCCATTTTCATCAAGGTTTCTAATGTTACCTCTGACGAATTCACTACGGATTCTCAGCAAGCGACGCATGTCACTTGTGGGCACAACGGGTTCCCGTCGAATCGGACTACCGAGGTAACCAGGGAGTGAGATAATGAATAGGCACAAAAGCAAATTTTGTTGGAACAGTGTGAACCCACAGAGTTTTGTAAATTAGCGAACCAGGAGGAAAAATCATCATTTCTCTTACTGATACATCTATTTCGTATCCACGCCTAAATGGGCTACATGTTATATTATAATGTACTACGCTGTACGATGATGATACTACATAATAGCCTTGAAGAACCAAGAACCGAATTTCTGAGTAGGCCGGTCACAGAATTGTGTACATAAAGTTCATCATGGTCCACAACGGTGAGTACGGCACAGTTGACTATTCACACCACGTCATGCAAACATGGTCATTGTTATGTCAAGCTAGTTGAAGAAATCGGTTTTGAGAGAAATTGCTTTAATGAAAACAAGTTAAACCCCTCCTCCGCTGGATGGACGTAATACATAGCAACTTGTTCTTAACTGCAGGCTTCCGTAGTTGGCCCTGCGGTCTGTTTTTCGTTTCGGATGAAAAACATGTTTATCACAGCAGCTGTGAAGGCACATTGAATTCGCATATTTTTTCACTAAACAAACCGTTTGTGGAAACTAGGGTCAGGGCTAATTTAATCACCGTTCTATGAGTGTCAACTTTCTCATCGTTTTACTGTCAAACTGGTTTGATCTGGTTTCACTTTTTGATATTTATATTCCAACTTCACATTACTTTGATTGTATGTCGATTGTGAAAAGTTCAGTAGCTTCGGTGGGATTCGAACCCACGCATGGACGCCTCCTACGCTTTGTACATACAAACTTCAAATCTGCCAAACAAAAATTTGAACGATTATTCTTGTCTTAGAACGTCATTCGGTGTATTCCGGTGATTTCTAAGGAAAACCTGTCGGGCAGTCAGCTTACATGCTGACTGGATGCCACCTGCCTCCGTACGTTGGATGGGTAAATTCGAATGTGAAAAGATCAGAGCTATCGATGTGGCCTCGTAGCTTAGCTGGTAGAGCATGCGCGTACAAAGTGTAGGTGGCGTCTATGCGTGGGTTCGAATCCCACCGAGGCGACTGAACTTTTCACAAGCGACATACAAACTTCAAATCTGCCAAACAACAATTTGAACAATTACTTTGATTCTCGATTTCTCCTCTCAGAGTTACTTTGAATTCGATCTCCGCGTGTTCGAATTCTACCTCCTGGTGCGCGAAGGTAAACGTATGGAAGCAATACAGTAAGTGTTCACTGTCCTTCTCCTCTTTTGTGAGATGCTATTTTCGAAACTGAGTGGAGCTGTTGATCAGTCCAGTTTATCCCTGTGCCAGGGAACTGAATGTTCGATTTTGGAATCAGTTTACATGAGGTCAAATAGGCTGTAAATTCACAATTTTTTTTCTAGAGTTTATCGGAACACGCGTTACAAATTCTCCATGTCCTTTAGCCGTTCAGCAATTTTTTTTCTGAATGGAAACGTAGCATCATCAAAGAATGTGTCAGGATTTACATTGGCCTGCCGAACTATGGAGTCTCCTCTTACCTTACACTTTATTGATCATTCTTTTGACTCCAGTTTAGTCGGGGGTGTTTCAGCGAAAAAATCATTGTCCCGAGGTTCTATTGAAGTACCTATTGATAATCTACGTTTAAAGGCTCCTCCAGAGGGAGCAGTTCTACTTGCTGCTTTCTTGTAGCAGAAATGTTTCAACTGAAATCAGACAACA